CAAGGAAACCTACATATTTTTCATTCTTAAGTGTAACCAGCAGAAGTTCATGTTTGTGCTTTTCCTGTTGCGTAGTATAAGCTCCATTCTGACTTGTTTCTATCTTTTCTTGTACAAGAATGTGGTTGTCTTTCCTTCAAGGGCTGTGGCGATAGAAAATGCTCTTCGACTGTTCTCGCCTCGTCTTGCAATTGTTGATGAACATCTGACCCGACACCTTCCAAGGGAGTGGTTAACATCGTTAGCAATTGAGGTGTAGTATTTTGAAAGTTGTGGTGCTTTCATTTTAATTTGTTCTCTATTTCTTTTGTGGTTAATTGTAATATAACCCAAAAGTCTGCCCTTGTAACCTTACCATACAAATTTAGAAGTACTTAGACAATGAAAGTGACAAGCTGGGTAAAATAATGATGATTGCAGTTTAGTGGAATATCTAAAATATTATTGGATCAACTGTGGGTAGTTGTAGATGTGACTGATATGGTATTCTGACATTTCCAGAGCATTGTGAGCTTTGAGGCTAAAAACTATTGAGAGGATATAGAAACAAGAAGTTTAAAAAGACCAAAAGTTATAATTGTAGTTTCCAATAAAAGTTTAAAGGTAATGAATTCCATAGTTCCATTTATTATCTTTATGTACTTGGGGCATCCTTCATAACTACGTTTATTTTCTGAATCCTAGTGTGCTGGAACTGATAATCCTTCAGAAGATGTACTTACAGTTATTCAAGCGCCTCGCCAGTCTGACTTAATGATAGAGCTAATAAAGAAGCTGAAGCCACAGGTGGTGGTTACTGGTATTGCGGATTATGAGGCTGTTACTAGTTCAGCTTTTGTGCACCTTTTAGATGTCACAAGAGAAATTGGATCTCGTTTGTTCTTGGACATATCTGATCACTTTGAGCTATCCAGCCTTCCAGGTTCCAATGGAGTCCTCAAATATATTGGAGGAACTGCTCTGCCATCACATGCAGCAATTATATGCGGCTTAGTGAAAAATAAGGTATTGATTCTTTCAACATGAATTCAGAAATTCCCCTACATAACCTGGTATCTCAGGGTTTCTATTTATCTAATTGAATAAAAAGGTTGAGATGTCGTCTTATGACTCTTATCAATTTATCCTTAGCTTTTTATCATGCAAAATCTTCTCATGAAGAGTAGCCAAATCATCTTTCCAGGTTTATTCGGATCTAGAAGTAGCTTTTGTAATTTCTGAAGAGGAGGCCATCTTCAAGGCATTGTCGAAGACTGTTGAACTACTAGAAGGGAATACGGCACCAATTAGTCAATTTTATTATGGTTGTCTTTTTCATGAACTTTTGGCTTTTCAGCTCGCTGACAGACATCCTCCTGCACAGGTATTTCAGTCGCTTTTCATTAAAAAGTTTATTTCACTTAAGATATTCGCAGCCAAGAAAGTAACAAATATACCATTTATTTTTTTGTCTATGTATAGAGTCTTCCTTTTTTATTGATAACCTTCTCAAAGACATTGTAAGTTGTTATTCTGGTTGGATTAGAAATGCAATTTTTTGTTCTGCCTATGGTTATATGTCTATCATCTGTTTTCTGCTGAAGATTGTCTTCTGTTTATGATATGAGTAAGGGGATAAGGGAATGTTTAGTGTGGTTTAGCACTGTAAATTTTTGTCCTATAAAAATTCTTTAGCATGGTAAATCTCTCTGAAGTGTAAAAGTGCCCTTTACATAATATTTGATTTCTGATAAGAAAACCTGAAGAAGGTTTTGTGTACCGTGTGTCATAATTCGGGAACATAGTAGTTAAGACAATTCTGTGGTGAACCTGATAATTATGATGTTGAGATCTATCACTTAATCATAAGGACAAGCTTTTCTCTGTTTGTCCTCCTTTAGGATGTTGAGATCTGCCACTGATTTATTTGATGTCACTTTCTAACACGTCAAAAATTCTGGTGTGTTTTGTTACTTGTTCTTTAAAAAATTATTGAAGTCTTCTCTAAAACCACATTTTCTCTATTCATGAAGACAAGTTTGCTAATCCAGTTGGTTTTCATATATGTTCTTCAGAGGGAATCTGCATTGCCTAAATCAGCAGAGATGATCGGGTTTGCTAGTTCAGCAATCTCAGTCCTCAATAATGCAGAGTTGTCAATTAGCGAGGCAGAGAACTCTTCCCTCATTCACATGGATGTTGATCAAAGCTTCTTGCGTGTACCGTCACCTGTCAAGGCTGCTATTTTTGAAAGTTTTGCTAGACAGAATATAGCTGAGTCAGAAATAGATGTCACCACTAGCATCAAGCAGTTTATTAAGAGTACTTACGGTTACCCAGTTGACAGCAGCACCGAATTTATATATGCTGACAGCTCGCTAGCTCTGTTCAACAAGATGGTTCTTTGCTGCATTCAGGAAGGGGGTACATTGTGTTTTCCTGCTGGTGCAAATGGGAACTATGTTTCTGCTGCCAAATTTTTGAAAGCAAATATTGTAACTATACCTACTAACCCCACAGATGGCTTTAAACTGACAGACAAGGTGCTTTCTGGAGCGCTAGGGACTGTGAATAAGCCATGGGTGTACATTTCTGGGCCAACAATCAACCCAACTGGTTTGATATACAGCAACAAAGAGATTGAAAGTTTGCTGTCTGCATGTGCTAAAGTTGGGGCTAGAGTTGTGATTGATACTTCCTTCTCAGGCTTGGAATATGACATCGAGGGTTGGGGAGGCTGGAACCTGGTGGACAGTTTGTCAAAGCTAAATACTAGCAACACATGTTTTTGTGTCTCTCTGCTTGGGGGATTATCTTTAAAGATGTTGAGTGGGGCGCTCAAATTCGGGTTCCTTGTATTAAACCAGCCTGTTTTGGTGGATACATTTGATAGCTTTCCAGGATTGAGCAAACCTCACAACACTGTTAAATATGCTGTTAAGAAGCTGCTTAGTCTAAGAGAGAAGAAACCAGGAGGTCTGTGGGATGCTATTGCAGAACATATAAAAACTTTGAAGAGTCAATCCAAGCGCCTGAAAGAGGTGAGCGCTCTCTCTCTCTCACACACAAATATTTGCATGCGACTCTATATATAATAATGTTTTACCTTGCACTTTCTTTCTTGTTTTAACTTGCCATGTCATCCTACTTTTGTTTGTAATAGACACTGGAGAAGTGTGGGTGGGATGTGGTTGAACCGTGTGGTGGTGTTTCCATGGTGGCCAAGCCGACGTCCTATCTGAACAAGAGTGTTAAGGTTGATGACTCGAACATCAGGGAAGTCATTCACAAGGCTACAGGGTTATGCATCAACAGTGGAGCCTGGACTGGAATTCCTGGCTACTGTCGATTCACCATTGCTCATGAAGAAAGTGAATTTGAGCGCGCTTTGGATTGCATTGTTAAATTTAAGGACACAATCAACAACTGAAGTCTCTTATAATGTCTCGTAGATTCTGATTCTGATTTTTGCTTTGAATCGCCGGAGGCTGGAGCTGCTGTTCCAAGTGGCACAAGCCACTAATAAGTTTTTGCAACACTCGGAAGTCGAAGTCGGGTTTCTGTCATGTGTTTTTGCTCCTTTCCATTCACAATGAATGTACCAAAGGAGTCGTGCCTCCTATTTGAGTGAGCTCAAGTGCTATCCTATGTGAAACAATCTCAATCAAATACCTAATAAATTTTGTGTATTTTCTTTAGAACTTTATGCATCTAGACACCTTTATTTTACTACAAGTTTTTTCTTTCTTGCGGGGATCGGATGGTTTAGCTCCATCTCATATTGCATTGCTTGCTTTTTAATTTTCTCCGCTGTTTGGTTCCCTTTCCTTGTCTCTCCGCTGTTTGGTTTCCCTATGTCCCTGGCCCCTCACATGTATTTCTGTTTATAGTGAGAAGACCAAATAGTTGAAACATTCGAAATTTCAAAAATATCCTCATTTTATGCACAAGACTAATCGATAACTGTTTAATAAATATAGGGTTAAAATTATAATTTAATACAGCAAAATTCTCCAGTGCGAATAATATATGTGCCCATCTCACAACAATGACAATTGCCAACCAACCGGTGAAAATATCCACACTGGAAATTTATTGTGACCCTTAGATCAATCCTCTCACAAATATTGCATCACATTATATCTTTCCACTAGAAACAAAATAATAAGTAAATCGATATAAATGACAAACACTCCATATAAAAGTGAAATTGTCCAACACGTCGCCACACAAACTAGAGCATCAGTTGCAGCAGTTGCAAAGATCGGAGATGGAACTGTCAATATACCACACGTTCTAGAGGAACAGAAACGAACTCACTTTCGTCTTCTGCATAGACATCCTCTCCTCCGTGTGTTTTTCCGGAGTTTCTTCTGCATCTGCACTCAATTTAAACAAGATACAAGTGAATTTTTTTTTCCTAATTACTTCCCTCCAATTAATTAATATTACCCATATGGATCTGCTTTTTTGTTTGTTATTCTACATAATTAAAAATCATTGATGGCATCGGATGGGGATGTGCAGAGGTTTTAGATGTGTTGGTCGGAGATGTCACTGTAGCGTCCGAAGTAAGTGTAAGCAAAGAGAGAAACTTGTATGAAATGAAGACGCCAAAATGATATAAGTGAGAATGTTAAGACACATTACGAATGGAAGTAAATTTGTAATACCATCACATTAGAGTAAAGACGTCTTGAGTAAGCTCATCTCATTCGTAGTAGGCAATAGTCCCTTACTAACTAAAAATAGTTGGTACTTACTAACTACTAATTAAGCAATAGTCCCTTGAGTTGTCTTTTACTATCTGGAACATTCCATAATCTTCGATCTCAACTTGAGACTCGGCTAGATTGTTCTAGGACATTCCGTAAATTGGATCCCAATCTTAAGACTTGGCTAGATTGTTCTGTATTTTTCCTCAAACATCACAAGAACAATCCAGAAAGATAAAGAATCGTCATCCCCCCCCCCCCTCCCTCCTTTTCGCTTTCCTATATAACTCCGTACCCTCCCCCATCCACATTCCTCCATCAGAATTACAAAGCTACCAACTCACTCTCCCTCCTCTGTCTTGGAGCATTTCAGTTGTGCAATCATTTCCTGCTTTCTCACCCATTAATCGATCACCATGCATGTGAAGAAGAATAATGCGATGATGGTGCTGCAGCCAGTACTACTTGTGATGGTGATGTTAGGCCTCACTGCCCCCACCCAAACCAACGCCTTGATTCAGTTCAACCCAATATCCTCCTCCCTCTGGGACCACCACATGATCGATGACCCTTTCAGAATTCTCGAACAGACTCCCTTCACCATCCCAAACCCTACCGTTCAAGAGGCGCTAGCTCTGGCACGTGCCGACTGGAAAGAGACGGCGACTGCACACGTGATCTCATTGGACGTCCCGGGGATGAAGAAGGAGGGCGTGAAGATAGAGGTGGAGGAGAACAGGGTGCTGAGGATCAGCGGAGAGAGGAAGGCCGACGACCAGGAAGGAGATCAGGGCGACAACTACAAGTGGCACCGTGCTGAGAGGACAAATGGCAAGTTCTGGAGGCAGTTCAGGCTGCCTGGGAACGCCGACTTGGATCAGATCAAGGCTCATCTCGAGGACGGGGTGCTCAGGATTACGGTGCCAAAGTTTGCGGCGGAGAAGAAGAGGCAGCCCAAGCTCATCAGCATTGCCTCGTCTTCTTCCGCGTCTGCTGATCATGGGGTGGATGTCAACCCTACAAAGGTCGCATGAATTCAAGACAAAAACTAATTACATTACGAGTATACAAAATGCATGGTTGCAAAAACGGACGAGATGTGTCGAGTTGTGTTGTGTTGTGTTGTAATGATGATTTGGGAATTTATTGAATAATATAAGTTTTTGTAATATGCATGCATGCATGATCTGGATTATATATGATCTAGTAACTAACACTTTACGTTTATGCATGATATGGATTGGTGTTAATGAGTTCTAGCTTACCTTCTGCGTGATGATAGCTCGTCATCTTTTGAAGAAATTTTTTATTGTGACCGAAACATGAATAGTATATTACATATGGCATGATTAACGTTTGGAGTATTCTATATACTTATATTGTGCTATATGATTAACGAAGCATGAGTTTTTATATTAAGTATATGTCATATTATGTTGACAAGGAAATATTAATACACTCGTATGTTTCTACTTAAAGGGAGAGTTGTGTTTTTTTGACTCACGCCTCAAATCCTCGTGCCATATTTCAATACAATGTAGGGCGTGACACATCCTATGAACCTTCACAGTCAACAACACAAGGGCATTCGAATGCACATGCTCATCTTGATTATAATCCTCGAGCACAAGATGAATGTTATGGGAGATGTGTCTTTAAGAACATTAGTGTTAGCAGCCCTCAGAGGACATTTTCAATACAAAAAGTGAGATCTTCAAAACACGATTGGTGGTGAAACGTTTGGAATCTGTAATTTATTTATATGATATCTCTTATAGAATGAGACCACATGCATGGACCTTATTCTTACCATATTTATATACCACCTTATGTGGTATCCGATATAGACAGTCACATCATTTAAATTAATCAGAATTTAATTTAAATTAAAAACCATTTAATAAACCAATAATTAAAAAAAAAGCTAGAATTAAATTGTGATTGTGGCATACGAGGAGTATTTTCCTTCTTTCCCCATTTAATCCTGCTTCTTCTCCCATTTCTTCTTCCACTACTGAATCAAAGAACTTGCTGGAATGATCTTCCATTTTTTTCCTTGGAGGGGTGTTGTCTCTGCTCTGTGAATAGCTCTGTGGTGAGTCTAATTATTTACATATTTAGGTGAATAAGAATAGTATTTCTTACTGTTTTAGACACTTCATACTGTTTGATTTGATCTTTTTGGTGCCAAGGTAACTTCTTTTCCAATTACGTTAGCGGAAGTAGATTACTTGTTGTAAAGTTTCAATCTTTGATTAAAACGATGGAGATTGGATATATCTGCCTAAAGGGTTTGAAAAGTCAGAATTTTTAAATGTGATTTTGTTTCTAGTGTACCATGGTTTCTTTATTTGGGGGTTTAGTGAAAGCTTTTTGTGATGTTTAATGTTGCAGAGTTTGATCAGAACTAGTTTATTATGGTGTTGTTAGAAAGCCATCGATATAAATTTTCAATATTTAATTAGGAAAATAAAGATTTGATTCATCCTGAAAGAAAAGAGGGAACTTGGGATTTATCTACCAAAAGGATATGAAAAATTCACATTTTTGAATGCCATTCCGATTTTGGTGTTCTGTTTAATTGGGGTTTAATGCAAGATTTTTGTGATGTTTGATGTGGTAGGGTTTCATTGAAGGCCATAGAAAGAGAAAAGCTTTTGAAAGGCGGGGACGTAAGCATGTCGAAGAAGCTTTATTCCAATGGAGGTGAAGTTATACTGGAAGTTCGAAGCAAAGAGATCAATGCAGTAAAAGGATCTCCCTCAAAAGGCTCAGAATATTCAGCTCCCAAGCAAAGCAAAGTGGGTTCAACCGCCAGCTGAGTCCAGCAGTGGGTTCTCTAAGTCAGTCCTAGTGAGCTCCCATTCACCTGAATTTTCGAGAAGGACTAGGATTCTCTCCCCTCCTCTTTCCATCCCCTTTCATCCCCTCCCCACATTCTCTTATTTTGTCTTTCTCTTGCTATAAAAAATTAATATAAGACGTTGACGTGGCTTAACCGTGACCGTTCAAATAGGAGGAGAGGGAAGGGAGGAAAGAGGGGAAAGAATCCTACTCCTTTCGAGAGCCAGTCCTGGTAAGCCTCCCAAGATTCCCACCCGTAATGAGAGTCTTGTTTTTTCAGCCATTGCAGTGTATATACTAGAATTAAGAGACTTGCACTTATGGCTAGTGTATTTACATTGATAGTGTGGTGTAATATATAAACTTGTATAATTGTGTTTTATGTTTTAGGAACAGGGAGTTCTTCTAATGAATTTACTGAAGAAGATGATGTAGTTGAAGTGAGTTCTTATAATGAAACAGAAAGCGATGAGGTTTATACAATAGAAACTTCTAATGAAACTGTAACAACCCGTCTCAATTTTATCGGAACGAAGAGGGTATTTTTGTGAAATTTCACCTTGAGCTAGATCTTTTTCTTTTAAAATTTGTTTTTGGGTCTTAATTGGTGAGCCTAAGGGGCCCACCCCTTGATTTGTCCCTCAGTTCCCTTGGATCCGGCTTTTCTGCCCTCCCACTTCCCTTACACTCTCATCCCCTCCTATTTTGTGTGGTCACGGTTAAGCCACGTCAACATTTTATATTGATTTTTTTATAGAGATAATAAGATAAAAATAATAGTAATATAAAATGTTGACGTGGCTTAACCATGACCGCACAAATAGGAGGGAATGAGAGTGTATGGGAAGTGGGAGGGCAAAGAAGCCAGATCCGTTCCGTTTTCATTTTCTTTCTTTTTGTAACACTTTATCTCTTTCCTCTCACTGCCGTGCCCTCTCTCTCTTCAGCTCTTCCTTTCTTCTCTAAAAACAAACACACACACACACACAGAGCAACCATCACCCCCATCACCTGGGCTTGAGACCTCAAGAACCTCAGGCCAAGCACGGCCTTCCACCGTGACAGCCACGGTGTACACTCCCTTGACGAACTCCGATGACTTTCGAGGATTTCCGACGTAGGTAAGCTTCGAGACTCCTTTGATCTTCCTTCCTCGTAGTCTACATTACTTGATTTGTGATTAAAATGGCTTTGGTGAAGGTTTTAGCACAAAAAACAACTCAAGGGGCATTTTCCAGAAATTTGGAAACTTCAAAACTGTGGTCGTTTGGCCACCACTGTGAGATCCCATATAGCCTAGGGGAGTGATCCTTATATGTATATTCTCATCTCTACCTAGCACGAGGCCTTTTGGGAGCTCACTGGCTTCGGGTTCCATCGGAACTCCGAAGTTAAGTGAGTAGCACGAGAGCAATCCCATGATGGGTGATCCACTGGGAAGTTCTCGTGTAAGTTCCCAAAAACAAAACTGTTAGGGCGTAGTCGGGGCCCAAAACGGACAATATCGTGCTACGGTGCTGGAGCGGGCCCGAGATGTGGTGAACCCCAGGCCGGGATGTGACAATCATCACGGGCAATCAATTTTATTGGGATGTGGATTGATTTCAAGGGAAGATACCGACTCCTTTATTTGGTTGTTTAAGACCTGGCTTGCTTGTATGTCTGGTCATGGTCCAAGTGGAATAATTACAGATCATGACAAAGCTATGAAAAAAACGATTGAAGTTGTTTTTCCTAATACTAGACATCGGTTGTGCTTGTGGCATATAACCAACACCACAATCACCTGTTGCTATGAACTATGATCCTCTTCCTAACCCAAGTCAGCATATACTTACGCCATTGTCGGCTAGAGGTAAAGGTCGTCCACCATCTAAAAGGAAACAATCCAAGACTAAGCAAGTAATCAAAAAAGACAAAAACGACAGAAAAATATTACATCTCGTAAGGACAATACAGATGAGGAAGGAACACAGATAACAAACATATTTGTTTTATATAACTAATAAGTTGATAAATCATAACATGTTTCACTTGCAACTTTTGTAGAAATCCATAGAAAGTGATGCAATATGCCGTATTGATGGTCCACCTCCTTGTAGAAGTGATAACATAGTTGCAACACAAGAGAGTAATGTCGTTGTGAAGGTATGCGATAAATATATTGATCTTTTTTTAATCTCTTTTCTTAGTTAATAATCATTAATTGTCATTATAATTACTATACTTACTCTTTGTAATTGTAATTACTTTTATTCTTTGGAATTTAGCATTCTCATCTTACACAAGGAGTTCAAATTTGCATGCCTGCCAACCAATATCTTATTTTCCCCCATACTAATGTAAGTTGTGCATTTTGTCTTGTTGATAGATTTGAATTGCTTTTGTGTTAGCTATTGAACAAATATTACCTATTGTAGGAAAACATGGCTTTGTTATTGGGACTCAGTCAAGGTGGCCATCCAAACTCGTTTTACAAAGAGTCTGAGATTGGAAATATAAGTTATCCTATTATGCATGGAAATTATGTCTAGGTAAACATTGAGAGGTTGCATATAATTTTGTTGTTGTTATTAATTAAATATTTATTTACATCACATAGTATAATGCTATATCTGTAGTTCTTATGGTTTTTTTTTTCCTCTTTATTTAGGGTCAACAATACACATACTGGAATTGAGGTTATAATATGTATAATATGCATAGCTCTACTTCAAGAGGAAACAATGATCAGGAGCTCAACTGAGCAATGGAAGCAAAAATGAAAGCAATTTCTTTATGTAGTTTGAGTTTTTGTGGATTTGGATCATATTTCTTCTAAACATAGATTTTAATGCATTTCAAATATTTTGTAACAGCAACCAGTATGTAGACATGTTACTCTTGTAATTCTTGTTGTAAACAAAGCGGAGTCATTTACATTGTGCTTCAAATTCAAGGACCTTAAATACAAATATAATGTGCATAAACTTCCACTCAAAGATCAACCTCAACACCACTAATCATATTACCACCTAAGCCAAGGCAGACGGTCGACACATACTGTGCATGACAGAAATCCCAATTCGACATTTGTAATGTACTTATATGTTTCTTTTGCTTGTTCCAAAAAGTCAATGTACAAGTAAAGAGGAAATTTTTTGTTTGATGACATTGAGTGGATAATGGAGGATGGCGGCCTGATATGAATTGTATCGTTGAAATGGATGGTCTGATTCACTATCTGCGTATTGCCACCATTCTTCATGACCATTGTATTACTATAATGGAGCTCTTGAATTGCATCAGTTGTGATATTCCCATAGGAGGACTTCACCCATCCAGTCGATGACACAGACCTGCCGACCCTTGTAAAAAATGTGCCATTTAAACCCTTGAAATCCAAAACCAAT